TTCAAGCTGAAGTTAATTGAAAACAATTTCACAGTTGGATCTCAAGTTACAAGGCAAACAAGAAGGCCTGTCAAGCAGCAGAAGCAGAGCCCAGACAACCAACTGCTGCGCCAGGGACCCCCTCCTGCTGTGCCATCGGTGGTCGCTCATAGTGCAGCTTTTAAAAGATTTTTTCCAATCCTATTTGCAGCCTAACTCATTTCCTGAGCCGACATATGCAAGTGTGACCTAATGAACGCCCTATAAAACTTCAAGACCTATAAATATTTATCTCTAAAGTTTTATTTTTGTGTGACCAGTTAGTGACAAGTTGGAGTAGGAAATTAAAGGTGTGAAGATATCAAAGTGCTAGAGCCATCAAAGTGCTGAATCCGACAACCAAAACTAGCATAAAAGAGCAAATGTGTTATACGGTGATTATTGCTCACTTATGGGCCTCATGAATGTTATAACGAACCTGAACTGATATTGCATGTTTCGAACGCCTAACAAAATTACCACATGAAGCCCTAACACATAGACAATTTATTTAATAAAAGTATTTAAATTATGAAACCAGTGATTCAAGTTTGTGGAAATTACATCTAGTGCGTTTGCTTTTATTTAAATGTTTAAACTATACTTAGAACCCTTAAGAATTCTAGAAATGATCTTAACGACTTACTCTCATACGTTTTAGATTAATGCATGCAATCAAGTACCAGCGATATTGAGGTAAAATATTCATAATGATGCATTGCAACAGAAGATAGCTGAAAACAGTAGTATAATGGTAAAGAACACATTTTTGAAAAGTGATTGAGAAATTAAAGAGCCAATGTTAATATCTATGGAGTGTCGTTTTCGAGAAATTGATAAAGTTCTGAAATTGTGACAGTTTCTTACTTTGTAACCTCTGGTGTTATAATGTAAGAGTTTTTTTTCTTTTTCTCCCAAACTTTAAATAAGAAAAACATATGACGTGAGTTTAGAGAGTTATGATTATAAATAATATAATTAAAGAATGGTGAGATATATGCATGTGAGTGTACTTACCATATCAAATAATCAGTAGTTTTTTCAAAATCTTTATTGAAAAAAAATCGGGTGGAAAAAGTGAAGTTCAAACATAATATACGTTGGAACTGAATTTACAATCCACACTCGGACCCACCTCCTAGGTTGCCTAGGTTGCATGCTTCACCTTCTCCGCCTAGGATCCACTTCCAGGAAACACGTGCGCAGAAAGCCTCTCTTAACCAAGTCAACAGTCAAGGTAAGTATAACGGGATCCATCTTTCGGAGCCAACGAAACCCTAAAGGTATCCCATATAAATATCCCCTTTTCTCTCTCTTTAAGAGAGGCTTCTCCCACCCACGAAATTCACACAAAGGGAGACCTTTATTATTCCCAAGATCACTTCTTCTTTTGATTCCTTTCATATTTCTTCACTTAGATTCTCATTTTCGGGTTCATCTTCCAGTCTTGTCTTGTGGCCTTTCTCGTCAGAGGCCCTTCGGGGGAGAAGCCTCCAAAGGTCTTTGATGGGGTCTCGCATGTACCAGCAGATGAGTAAATCGGATTTCTGGGGAACTGGAAATGGTTTCCCTTCCGAAGGTTCTCCGACACTCAAGTCAATGTACGATATACTGAGAATATGAACTCAAAAAGGTAGGTTTGGTGAGGTGTTTATGGTTTGGGTACCTTGTCCGAGGATCGTGATACCCGTCTGATGTTTGGTAAAAATGGAAATAGAGTAAAGGGACTACCACGAGAGCAGGATATAAACTCTCTTTTCATGGGTGCTACGATGTACAATAAAGGGGAGAAGAAAAATTTATATTGGCTGGCGTTCCTTCTGGAGGACGGTGAGCGTATCCCCTTTTTTCTCGTTGTCTGAACGGATCGGAACGAGGTCCGGTGAGATGGAGATCAGAAGTCTCTCCTTTCGTTTTGTATTCTCTCTAGATATGGTCTTTCTCTTTAGGTTTTAGGTTTCGGATCCCAGGTTGCCGATCGATCGCAGATTACTCTCTTCTTTCTTTTGGCCTTGAACTTCCTTTTATATTCTTTTCTCCTTGACAAATCTATCTCTTTAGTTCAATCTGCTTTCGTCGTACGCCGTATGGATGAGACTTGTCAAAGAAGCTTAGTAAACCCGCTACCTGTCCTGCTAAAGAGCTTTTGGCAGGTATAGATAAAAAAATCAACGCTAAAGTCAAACCCTGTGACCACGTATTGCCTCGAATGTGATCACGGTAAATATGGGCAAACACACATAAAATTAATTTTACTATTTTTATTTTAAAAATATTTTTAAAATCACTATATACTCGTGTTTCAGGTAGTTTTATCTGATGTAGGATAAATAACTTACGATCTAAATTAAGTGAAAATATGTAATTAGTTTTTTTAATTGTTGAAAATAAAAATTAGTTTTTTTTAAATTTAATTTTCTTTTTAAAGAAACAGAGCTCAGTTACGAGCTAATCTCAGCTGAAGATTTGGAGTAATGCGAAGGACCCAACCCAACGCTCAGCCGAACCAGTCGGGATCGATCCTGTTTGTCTACCACTAGACCACTGGTGCTGTTTGTCTCAGTTTCTTACATTTTATTAATTTATAAACAAGCAACTCAGCAATTTCGGCAAAGATTCGAGTGGATTTAACAATTGTTATCACTGAGAGTTTCTACAAAACTGATTGATTAAATTACTCTATGTTATTATGATCAGACCACTCTTATTATACTCTAAGCCAGAAAATCGAGTCTCACAAATCACAATCTCTCAACTTAAAAGCTTAAAGCTCAATGTTTTGCAAGAACACATAAACACCTAACCAACCTTCCAAGTATTAGTAGTTCCAGAGAAAACCATTGCCTAACTCGCCTTAGAAAAGTCACATAACTCTATAAACCGCAATATTTGCACAAACAGAATTCATCTACATCACTTTAATCCAAGAATGCCTTAATAACTTTGAACGCTAAAAGGATACATGATGTAGCATCGTTACCGTTGGATGTCTCTCACCTTCACGTGTTCGACAAGCAACTTCTTTAATTGGATTTTCTTTTATTTTCTTTTAACTTAGGATAAGAGTTTTCGAGATAAGCTTAAATCTTCTTAGGGATAAGTTTTATAGATGCGACCTGATCGCCTTAGCTTCTATTTATTTGGCTTCTCCGTTGTTGTAAACGAACTTGATTATTGATTTGGTTTTATAATAAAGAGCTTTTTAGCGCTGGGAAGAGCATTCTCAACCCTCTGTTTTCTGACTTGCAAAATAGAGTCCGATCCCTTTCTTACTATAGCTTCCGCCCCCTATCAATACATAACTCAGAACTATGAGACAATCATCCTAATTCATGAATTCCACATAAAATGTACATACATGTGTTGTGTGTGAAATGGCTCTCATAGCTCAGCACATATATATTCCCACAACCTTATCTCTAAAGCTCTCATTCCAAAGCTTACGGTCCTTTGATTTCTCCACCTCCTGAACAAAATCCACAAGGTTTTCAGAATTTAAGAGGAAAACAAAATTCTCACCATTTCAGCAAAATTTGTAACGATGAAGAAAGCGAAAAGACCTCAATTTTCTTCTTTTTGAATGCTCTTAATGGGACTGATTCGATCGGATTCCAATAGAAATGTAATCCTTTGATGGATTAATCTAATCTTTGGAAATAGCAGAGGTGTAAAGTTTTCCATTTGGAAATATTTTAAATTTTGCTCTTTTCAAGTGGAGTTTATAGTACTGATTGAATCTAATTTTAGTAGGATTGAATATTTAAAGAACACAACGCGAAAGGGAGGAAGAAGAAGAAGATGTGGATTTGGAACAGTAAAGAGAAACAGAGGCTTCTTGGTTTGGCGAAGAAACTGAAGAAAGAAAAAGCAAATAAGGTTTAAATCACAGCCCTACATTCACTCCACTCGAGCCAAATTCGGAATTGCTCTAAGGAAGGAGCCTGTAAGAAAATTCTGACCCAGGTTCCTGAAACATGTTGAGGTCTCAAGAAAAAAAGAATAATAATTATATACAGATTTGTGAGGTAGATGGAAGTTCAGAGCTGGGATCTTCATCACATCGTCTTTAGATTTCTCCCTCTCCTAAACAAAACCCATCAGCCGTTTTAAGTAACAACATTTACAACCCCATCATAATTTCAAATTTCATGAAAATTATGGCGTAGGGGAAAAAGAACAAAAATCTCACCGTTTCAGCAAATTTGCAAGACGAGGAAGAAAGTGAAAAGGATTTTAACTTTGTTATTTCAGAATGGAGTATATGGGACGGGTGAAATCGGATTGTAATTCATGGTCGTTGTGAGAAAAATGTGAAATAAAAGAAGAGGGAGGTGGAAAGGTGAAGAGAGAACATGAGACGCAAAGAAAAGTTGTAGGGTAAAAATATAAAAAACCAAAAGTTGAGAGGCGAATAAGGAGCTTGTCAGACAACCGTGCGACCACTCCGGAGAGGTCAGCCCTGACCGGATAGCGATCCTCTACAGATCGGAAACACTGCAAGGAGAATCGAAACCGTCAATCACACTCATCAGATCGCACGGTTATAAATCATCAACCAGGGTTAAGGGCCCGTCTGTTGAGAAATGAAAGAAACAGAGGTACGAGCCCATAGAACAGATCCTGTTCAAGTAAGGTCGTGACCTGAAGCTTCGTCTCTCCGCTATATAAACAACACAGTTTTTCTCTACATTACCGATGTGGGATAAAATAAAACAACTTCCCATGCCTATACGCTAATCCGTCGTCGTTTTCTGCCGTAATCAACTAATGTCGAATACGTTGTCGTTTCTCGCCTCACTGAAGTACTGAAGAGACTGTAACAAAGGTTTTCTTCTTCACTGAATCAGAATCTCATTTTTGCTTAAACCCTAAACCCTTTTTGGATTAGGTTTCTCTACCTTATCCGCCGTGATTCCATTTCATGTGAAATTTCCGGTAGATTTATTTGTGAAATTTCCGGTAGATTTATTTGTGAAATTCCGATGATTCTCTCACGCTCTGTCTCAGTGCTTCATTTCTGCGGAGTTTCTTCAGCGCCGAAGCTCTTATCACAGAAGTTCAAAGTCTCGTTTGCTCTCGCTTATGGTTCTTCTGCGTCTTTCCGTTTGATCTCTCTCAATCGATCTAATGGGAAATGGGTTCGTGGGTTTGCGTCTGCTACTGAAGCTGAAGTAGAGAGAAAGGGTAATGATACTTTTTTCGCGGACCATGCCGTTTCTTGGAAGTCTCTAGGGTTATCGGATAAGGTCTCCGTGGCTCTTCAAGATTCTGGGTTCGGAAGACCGTCTCTTACTCAGGTAAAGTTTTCAAATCTTGTGAGTTTAAAAAGTGAACTTGGAGAAGCACTTGTTGATTGTGAAATGGTGAGTTAAAATTTGCTTGCTTTTATGAAAACTTTAGGATTGTGAGTTAAGTTTTGAGAAATTGCTGGCCAGATTATTGATTTTATGGCCTTCTCCTATGTTTTATGTTATTCTGTCGAATTTTGAAATTGAAATTGTGGTTCAATTACTGGTATTAAGTTTTCAGGTAGTTAAGTTGTGAATTTGTGAAAGAAAGAGAGAACCTTTATCAAACTACTTAATTTTTAGTGTCACGGTTTTGTTTTCAAATGTCTTATTGTGAATCTGATATTGAGTCTTTACTGATTTACCTGTTAGGCTGTTTGCATTCTCTTACTCAGGAATTTTTTTTTTCACATTTTGTGAATTTAAAAAAAGAACTTGGAATATCACTTGCTGATTGTGAAGTGATGAGTGAAGGTTGCTATCAAAGTGAAAGTTTTGAATTTAAAATTGAACTTGGAGAATCACTTGTTGATTGTGAAATGATGAGCTAAATTTGCCGTTTTTATGAAACCTTTAGGATTGTGAGTGAAGTTTTGAGAATTGCTGGCCAGATGATTGATTTTATGTTTTTTATGTTATTCTGACGAATTTTTTATTTGAAATTGTGGTAACTGTTACTTTTGTCTGTCTACTATTGAGTTTTCAGGTAGAGTTAAGTTGTGATCTGTGAAAGAAAAGAGAGAACCTTTGTTAACTACTAAATTCAAAGGCAATGATTTTTAGTTTCACGGTTTTGTTTTCAAAAGTCTTATTGTGAATCTGAGTTTGATTCTTTACTGATTTTTCCTGTTAAGCTGTTTGCATACCGTCTCTTACTCGGGTAAAGTTTTCAGATTCTGTGAATTTAAACAGAGAACCACTTGTTGATTGTGAAGTGATGAGTTAAGTTTGCCATCAATGTGAAAATTTTCGGATTGTGAAGTTTTTAGGAATTATTTGCCAGATGATTGGTTTTATGGGTATCTCTTAGATTTTATGTTATTCAGTCAAAGTTTTGAATTGAAATCGTGGTTCTGGTAACTGTTACTGTCAAGCGTTCAATTTGATTAAGTAGTGAAAGAAAAGAGAGAAACTTTTTTAACCTGTCAAGTCTGTTTGCATCATTTATCGTTTCTTAAACTTTTCTTCATTTTGGGCTAGAAAATGTTTCATTGTGAGTCTAATTCTTTACTGTTTTACCTGCAAGGCTGTTTGCATACCGTCGATATTATCCGGGAGAGATGTGATTGTTGCAGCAGAAACCGGTAGTGGCAAAACACATGGATATCTTGCTCCGATAATCGATCAGTTAACCTCCACCGCTCTTGATTCCGAGCATACTAATAGAGACGAAAGGCCGTTTCCATTAAAGAATATCTCTCTGATTCTGTGCCCAAACGTTATGCTCTGTGAACAAGTGGTTCGGATGGTTAACGGTCTTCTTGGAGAAGATGGGAATCCACTTCTCACCGTTGAAGCTGTTTGTGGCTCACAGGTAACTCTTTCATGTCCGAGAAGCAAAACTCTATCTATCTGTCTTTGTGTATGTGTCTGTTCGAATATGGAAGTTTGCATTTTGCTGCAGGGTTGGCCAGATAAACAGCCTGATATCATTGTTTCAACACCCGCTGCTCTACTGAATAACATCGAGCCAAAGAGAAACAGGCGTGTGGAGTTTCTTCGATCTGTCAAATATGTGGTATAGTTTTTTGTTTTGGAGTTTGTGTGTTATTAGCAGTTTTTGGACTTGCAGATGTTTTTGTTGAATGTTGTGGATCATTTGCAGGTCTTTGATGAAGCTGATATGCTTCTGTGTGGAAGCTTCCAAAATCAGATTATCCGTCTGATAAACATGATGCGTTTCGATGAGAAGCAAGCGTCTCGTTTAGCTAATTCCAAACTCGGAAAACCAATAGAGGTTGATGCAGAGTCTTTAGCTCAATCTGATTCAGAGAATGAGAATGATGCAGATTTCGAAGACGGGTCTATCTCCGAGGAAGAGGAAGAGGAGCTCGAGTATCTTGATGATACCACACAAGTGCCCTCCATTGAAAACGAAACTGGTCCAGAGATTAGAAAGGGGTGGAGAAGAGTGAGAAAGATCTATAGCCGTAGCAAGCAGTACATTTTCATCGCAGCTACACTTCCACTTAACGGGAAGAAGACTGCAGGAGGACTCTTGAAACATATGTTTCCAGATGCTGTTTGGGTTAGCGGAAACTTCCTTCACCGAAACAGTCCTAGGTGATAGAAAGCTTCTCTCTTTCATCTTCTTTAAAGTAGTATTACTGTAACATCATTTTCCGCATCACTCAGACAGAGTTGTTATTGTCTTTGCTGTGTTGTTAGACTAAAGCAGAAATGGGTTGAAGTCACAGTAGACACACAAGTTGATGCACTTCTAGAGGCTGTAAGGAACAACAACAGCGAAGACAGGACGATGGTGTTTGCAAATACCGTTGAGGCGGTTGAAGCAGTAGCTGATATATTGGAGAAAGCTACAATCCAGTGCTACCGTTACCACAAGAACCATACCCTTGAGGAACGTGCTAATATATTAGCTGATTTCAGAGAAAACGGCGGTGTCTTTGTCTGTACTGATGCAGCTGCTCGTGGAGTTGATGTTCCTAACGTCTCACACGTTATTCAGGCGGATTTTTCTAGCTGTGCAGTTGATTTTCTTCACAGGATAGGTCGAACAGCTAGAGCTGGGCTGTATGGGACTGTGACGAGTCTATACACTGAGGCTAACAGCGATTTAGTGGAAGCGATCCGTGAAGCAGTCAAGACTGGTCAGCCCGTGGTATAGAGATTCTATCAAACTCACATGAACTCAAATTCTACATTCTGTTTGCAATAGCAATTGCATATATTGCTTGTGGTGATTGATTGATTCTTGTGTTATGTTTATATGAAATGTTTCAGGAAACTGCATTCAGCAGGAAAAGGGGTTTCAGGAACAAGATAAAGAAGAGAGGTAAAAATAAACTAAAATCTGTAGATGCAGAACATTGAGAAAGACTGTAGAGCTAAATATATAATTTGTGTTTGCGTTTAATTTTCAGCTTTTTTGAAAGCTGGAGAAGCAGAGGAGCCTCAAGCTGTGCGAGTTTAAGTAGATCACCACACTGGTTGTTGTATATATTGCAAAAATGGAATAATCACTTATTTTTTTTCTTTGTTGTTCCAGTAGGAATATGATAACTTCGGTTCCAAACTTAAAAGCTTAATTTTTAAAAAAATATTATTTTTTACAATTAGTTTTATCTGACGGGAAGTTTTTCTGTGATAAGTTTTTCTTCTAATTATAGAAGAATTAGGGTTTTCGATTTACCGACGGTAGATTTGTATTGATTTTCTATGACTAGTATAGAAAACAAAACGTAAGATTTTGGGCGAAAAAATTAAAAGAACAAAACTTAACGCGTGAAGAACGCGGTTTCACAATTACCTGACCGTTAAAAATAAGTTTTTATCCGTCTATAAATATCATTGCATCATAAATTCATAACCCTATCTATTTTCTTTTCTCAACAATTTCATTGCTCTCTCTTACTCTTACTCTTACTCTGCCGCCCGAGAAAAGATCACAAAACAATTCATTACTCTCTCTTACTCTGCCGCAACAAAAAAAAATACAATGGCTCCTCTACAAAGAAACTCCGATGATGAACTGAAGAAAGCGAGGCTTGATTATTTCAGAAGAAGATTTCCGAATTTCAAGAAGAAAGCCACTGAACTTTCTGTTCTCTGCGGCAACTCAGTTGTCTTCGTCTGCTACACCCCGGATGACAATAAAGTTCAGGTCTGGCCTGAGAATCGGCAAGAGATCCAAGATATAGTCTCAAAATTCAAGAACCAGAGCGATGAGAAGAGGAAGAAACACTCTTGCGATGTCTATGATTACCCAAATCTGGACGGTTTATCTCATGAGGAACTCAGGAATTACCTCTCGGTCATCAATGCGCAGTTGTCGGGAGTCAGACAGATAAAACGAGAACTTATGTCGGAGAAGATCAGTTCCGAACAGAGAGGATCCGGCCAATTAGGGTTTGTTTCCGATTTGGGATGTGCGGATGGTGTTGGGGTCTCGGGTGGGGAAGCTGATTCTTCTCGGCTGGAATTAGGGTTTCAGGCGTCGGAGCCAACGGCGGTGGCATACAATCCGTCGGGGTGTTGCGGCAGTGATTGTATTTGGGATTCTTCTCGGCTGGATTTGGAGTTTTTCGGTTCCAGTAGGCTTCCAATTGTTTAGTTTCGTAGTTTGATAACTTTTGTCTGTTTTAGTTTAATTGCTATTTTTGAAATTTGTAATCCATGGTAGAATGATGAAACTCGGTTTAGCTCTCGTATTACCTCAATATATTTGTGTTTTTCCTTTCTGACGAATGAGCAATAACTCGATTATAACTACAAAGTATACAACGTTTCTGCCAAATACTCATTGATTTTTCTTTGGAAGTTTCTTGAATATTTGATTTTTGTTTGTGATTGCACTTATGTTTTAACTCGAAGTGTGAGTTAAAGTTTGCATCTTTAGCAAATATTTTACTGCATTTTCGTTGAGTTGGTGATTGGCTTTTCTTCTTTCTCAGGAGTAGTATCTTGGTCTACACTCGTGTGCTGTTGAATTCGGTTTTATGCAGTTGGGGCTCGGATCACACTACTTCTTCTATATGGAGACACAAACGTCGCTTGCCTTGCCAGACGAAGACAACTGTTTAGTGGTTTACATTTCAACTCAAGCAACTGAGTCGTACTCGGTGAGTAGACACAATTAGTAATTGCTACATGTCTTGGCATCACCAGAGCATAAGGTGCGAGTCATCACCAGAATGTCGTTTGACATTAAAGTGTGTAAGACGAACCTTCCGAGCAGAACTTCTTTGAGGGCACCTGGTGAGGTACAAGGTCCATATATCGCTGAATCCATTGTTGAGAATGTAGCATCTTCGCTGAACATGGACGTGGATGTTGTGACAAGGATAAATGTTCATACTTACGAAAGCCTCCGCAAGTTTTATACGGATGAGGCTGCTGGTGAGGCTGATGAATATACTTTGCCTCTGTTATGGGACAAATTGGAGATATCTTCAGATTTCAAGCGAAGGGCTGAATCGGTGAAAGAGTTTAACCGATCGTCTATTAAGTTATGAATAGGTCAACTCCAGGAAAAGTAGACATTTTGTGCGACGGTTCTGTTCTAATTGAGGTTGCAGGTACTGAGATTGGGCAAGGGTTATGGACAAAGGTACAACAGATGGTTGCTTTTGGTCTTGGTATGATCTCTTCAGACCAACACGCTCAATATGACACAAAGCAGTTACACAGCACAACATCCGAGAACTTTTGTGAAGCAGTTAGGCTTTGCTGTGTTGTCTTGGTGGAGAGAGAGGTTGAAACCTACCATTGAATCAGATTCTGGAGAATGCTCGAACCGTGACATGGGACATGCTCATTCAACAGGTATAACATAGTCTTCTGCAGAGTATCTCAACTACGGAGTTGGAGCTAGTGAGGTGAATCTTATAACCGATTGTTTTAGTCCTTCTCTTAAGTCAGGAACATGGGGAAAACTTTGCAGATAAACAATCTTTGTTAGAGTCACAATGAACTTTAGCTGCCAGAGAAGACATGGAAACAAGCGGCTTTTCTCATGACCATCTAGAAACCCTTCACGTGAATGAAACAGAGGCCGATCTTGTGTTCCAAATAGTTAAGCCTCAGGTAGTACACTTTCTTCACCCAATCTTCTGTTAATTAGCAATAGCGAAGTATCTCCAAATCTTGTATGATTTACAATGTCTCCTGTTTCATTGCACTGAATCTTAAGCAAATATATAGTCCTAAACTGACATCTTTGGAGTAACAAGGAGTAAGCAATGGTCTTGTCACCGGTAATGCAGCAGCTAAGGAAATGATGTTTGAGAGCCTAACAACAACACTTGGAGCCCAAAGCCTAGGTATCATTTTTCCCTAAGAGTCTCCATTTTGAAACTGTGGTGTATGAGTAAGCAATCAGAGATCAATGTGAGTTTAGTTAGTTATCTCTGGAAGAAAGTTTCGAAATCTGAATCATGAAAAGAAACATCTTTTGTTCATAGATAGATAAAACTTTGCGTTGCGATTTGTTCCTGTGTGAATTGAGGCTTATATGAGCACAGAGAGAAACAATGTTGCTCTTGTCTTGTGTATGATTGGTACTTTATGCAAACAGTAGACTCACACATCGCACTCTCTGGTCACGCAAACAAACACTGTTGATTGATACTGTTTTTTTCTTACCACTTCTCTCAGCTGCTCAAATAAGAGAACTCGTTGCTTGGCAAACAAAGTAGACTTCACGATGATCAAACTATCAGAAACAGAGCATCCTCTTATCGACTTAGGTACCTCTCTCTGGCTTCTCAACTGCTCTAAGCTTGGCTCCTAAAAAATTCTTCTTATTTACTCCTTGCGTAGAGTTTCTAATTGTACAGTTTTGATAACAACAATGTATCCATTTTTATGATAAATCGAAAACCATTTATTAAAAAACGAAAAGAGAGTTGCTCTCTCGCAGAAAACATAGTTCTTGAACCAAATTGATTAGAGAATTAAGAAACTAAAACCACAGACATTTGTGTTTTAGTTTAATTGCGACTTTTGAAATTTGTATCCATGGTTGGATGATGAATATGTTGTAAGATCTCGTATTACCTCAATATATGTGTGTTTTTCCTTTTTGATGAACATGCAATAATTCGATTTCTACTACAAAGTATACAATGTTTCTGCCAAATACTCATTGATTTTTCTTTGGGGGGAGTTTCTTGGATATTTGATTTTTTGTTTGTGATTGCATTTATGTTTCAATCTCTGTCTCTCTGCGCAGAGAGAAATGGCCGTTTCATTGCTGCAACACCCTCAGATTCCACTTTTCATCTTCCATGAGCAATGTCAAAATATTGGCATAAACCTTCAGGGAAGTCCTCAATGGGCCTAAATGAAGAGCTCTAAACTAAATATATTTTCTCTTCCAGTTAGATTTGGTAAACAGGAAACCATGCTATAGTCACATCTTACTTGCAGTAGTCTATACTCAAAAGTTTCACAAGAATTAGACTATTCTGCGTATTTTTGAAGGCTAAGGTAAATCTTGTGGATCTTGTTCCAGTCTTTCTGATTTGATTGTTTGATTAATCTGGCTCGATGGTGTTTTTGCTTTCAGTATCAGAAGAAGCGTATGAGGAGGTTGAAGAGGAAGAGCCGAAAGATGAGAGACAGACACATCTCATCTAATCTACAACTGTTTCGCTTTTCCCTCTGCTTTGGTTTTTTTTCTCCCGTGTGTTCGTTCACCCGAATTCTTGGTTTCTAGTTTTTATGGAATACATTTTTGGTGTTGTTGGATTAATCTATTTTCAATTAATGATAAGCTTTATTATATTCGTATTGCTCTCTTGCGTATCTACTTCAAACTATATATTTTCCCTCTAACTATGATTATCATCCTAAATCTCTAAATAATACTCTCGATTCTTACTTTGGTTAGGGGTTCAAACATATATACATTGGCTTTTTCTTTGGTATAAATAAATCTAAAATCCCATAGCTGTTTTATAAAGAGAAACTACAATGTAAAGGTTAAAATTCAAAAAGCCAAAGAAATAATTTGACTAAGATGTACCGTTAGTAGATTTAATTGCATATTCATGGTCAGTGGGAACAAAATATGAAGCAGAAGGGTGAAGATAGAATAGGGGCTTCTTGGATTAGAAGAAAAGTTACAAGGGTGGAAATATAAGAAACCAAAAGTTAAGAGGCGAAAGGGCAAAAAAAAAAGTTAAACCTGTCAGACCGCCGTGCAACCACCCCGACTAGGATTAAACCAAGCCGAGTAACGATCCTCTACAGCACCGGATTCATCAGGAGATGATCGTAGCCGTTAATCACGCTCCGATCACACGGTCATAGTTCATCAACCAGGGTTTAGAGCCTGTCTCTTGAGAAATCAAGGAAACAGAGGTACGAGCCTATAGAACAGATCCTGTTCAAGTAAGGTCGTGACCTGAAACCTCTTCTCCCCGCTATATAAACAACACAGCTTCTCTCTACGTTACCGATGTGGGATAAAAATAAAACAACTTCAGATGCCCAACACGTCGTCGTTTCTCTGCCTCAATGAGCTAATACCAAATACGCCGCCGTTTCTGTAGATTTATTTGTGAATCCGATGATTCTCTCTCTCACGCTCTGTATCCCCGTTCCTGGTTTCTACGGAGCTTCTCCGGCGCCGAAGCTCTTATCCCATAAGTTCGCTCTCTCTTATGGTTCCTCTGCGTCTTTCCGTTAGATCTCTCTCAATCGATCTGATGGGAAATGGGTTCGTGGGTTTGCGTCTGCCACTGGTAGCAGAAGTAGATAGAAAGGGTAATGCCGTTTCATGGAAATCTCTAAGGTTGTCGGATAAGTTCTCTGTGGCTCTTGGAGATTCTGGGTTCGAAACACCATCTCTTTACTCAGGCAAGTTTCAAATTTTGTTAATTTAGAACTGAACATGGAGAAATCACTTGTTGATTGTGAAATGATGAGCTCAATTTGCTGCTTTTGTGAAATTTTAGACTTTTGAAGATTTATGGGCTTTCAATTGATTTTTATGTTATTCAGTCGGAGCTCTGAATTGAGGCAAAAGAAGACATGTCGTCAGTCTTCTCTCTTCTTATGGAGGTATATGCTTTCATAAGAATGTTACCATATTTGATTTTGAGAACTGAGAAGCAACTACGACATTATCAGAAGGCTTACTAAAGATGAAGCAAGAGAGCTATATTTCTTACACCGTGTGAGAATCTTGGAATTGCGTCTGAGCACGGTTACTTCACAAGGTACGTTGCTGAGTTGTCGTCTTAATTCTGATAGTGTCGTGAAACTTTAGTTGCCAGAGAATAAAAACTCAGTAGCCAATCTTTGTAATAGAAGAACATCATGGAACCTATTATGAGACTATATACAGAGACTACCGATTGATCCAATATAGAAGCGACAGAAAGTGCTTAGATCCAATTCTAGAAGCCGATCTTGTGAATAAACCTCAGGTAATATTTTGTTGATGAGATATAAAGAACCCATAACACAATGATCCATAGAGAAATACCTCCAAATCTTTTATAATTTTACAATGTCCGTGTATCGTTGCGGTAAATTACAGAATCCTTGTATCGTTGCGGTAAATCGAAGCAATTATTATCTTGTCTGTTTTTGTACATAGTATCTCCAAATCTCCTATGATTTATAATTTCACTGAATGGAAGCAATCCTTGGATTGTCTTATTTCTTACATAGTTCTAAACTGACATCTTTGGAGGAACAGGGAGTAAGCAAAGGTCTTGTTACTGGGAAAGTTCTTAGCAGAATGCTTGAAGAAGAAGGGAAGACACCAGATTTTTGTGGTATGCATTGGAGACGACGGATCAGACGAGGAGATGCTTGAGATCATAACCTGCAACACTCTCGTCAATGTCTGCTGAGATATTCACTACCTCGATACAGTAAGCGACCTGGTGAAGTTGATTCAGGGACTTGTCAACACTTGGAGCCCAAAGCCTAGGAGGTATCATTCTCACCTCAGAGTCTCCCTTTGATAGTGTGGTATGAGTAAGAAATCAGAGATCAATTGTTTATCTAGGAGATTTTTTTTTTTTTTTTTTTTGAATCTGAATCATGAAAAGAAACATCATTTGTTCATAGAAAAGAGATAGAACTTTGGGTTTACGATTTGGAGCATAAATGAACACAGAGACGGTTCAAATCTCACACATCACACTCTCTGTTCACGCAGACAAACACTGCTCAAATCTGAGAACTCATTGCTTGGCAAACAATCCTCAGCTCGCAGAAGTGAAACTCAAATCTTTCAAAGCCTTATTAGAAACAGAGCATCCCAAGGCGCATTTGTATCCATTTTAAAGATAAATCGTAAACAGTTTACCAAAAAAAAACAGAAAAGAGAGTTGTTCTTGAACCAAATTGATCTGAGAATTAAGAAACGTTGCAGAAGAAACAGAGCCACAGACTCAAAGAGAAAAACGACATGGAAACATGCGTTTTAGATTTACATGAGAAACCAAGAAACATAAATCGAATCCTCAAGTCTCCAGAGTAAAGTTCCTAGTAATATCTTATGAAGAGCTTTAGTGGGCATGGGAAGAGATGCCGAATCCTGCAAATCACTTTACCTTGCAGCCTCTTCTTAGCAAGCCTCTTCTTCTTCTGATCGTTTCTTCTTCTCCTTATCACAGAACTTGAGAATCTTCTTGAACCCTAGAAACTTCCCGCTCTCCTCAGACTTGATCAGTTTATCAAGACCCATGATTCTCCAGCAACCCGATTCGGATCCATCGGTTTTACCACAAGCCTCTGTTCGGCGTTTGACGAAGACGAAGTAGGTAGGGTTCTGAGTATTGAAGAAGCTCCATGGATTCAGGTTGTACACGTGTGCTTTTACGTCTCGGAGGAAGTGGTTAGGCCAGGATTTGCCCTTGTTCATCATCATATTCAGATAATATGAGATGATCACCTCGTCTGCTGGTTCGATTAGTTCATCTTCATCTTCAGATGATACAGAGTGATCTTCCATGCTTTCTTCTTAGGTGATGAAACTCGATTGATCGGAGAGAAGAAGAAGATTATGCAGTGATGAAATGAATATTGGATCGAGGGAGAGAAACACGAAGCAAGAATCGCAAGAAGCAAAGAAGAGATAAAGCGCAGAAGAAGAGGAAAAAGAGATGCTTTATAGTTAGTTGTTACCGTTATCTTTCTTTATTCCGTAAACACCCTCTTCGTCCACGTATATTTACTGTTGTGCCATATTCTATAAACTTTTTTTTTCCGTGGGTTGTTGATGGTCTCTTGTGTTGGCCTTACCATGGACTTGAACAAAGCGGAGCATGAGAGTACAAGTCTTCTTTTTTTTCGTTTCTTTCTTGAGATCTTTGCTGGGTTTTGCTGGGTTGTGTCGTCTTAATTCTGATAGTGCATGTGGTGAAAATTTTGTAGGCAGAGAATAAAACTTAGAAGACAATCTTTTGTTGGTAGGTTTATGCTTTGGTTCTTGTCAACCAAAGTAACAACTGGACCATCTAGAAACAGTTCTTGTGAATGAACCGGTTGTTGTTAACCAAATCGTTCAAGTTAAGCCTCAGGTAAATACGCTTTCTTCACCCAATCTTCTGTGGATGAGCAATGAAGAACACAATGATCCATAGAGAAATATCTCCAAAACTTCTATGCATAGTCCTAAACTTAGATCTTTGTACTAGCAGGGAGTAAGCAAAGGTCTTGTCACCCTTGGAGCCCAAAGACTGGCTCATCACACTCTCTGATCAGGCAGACAAACAATAGACATGACTCCTCAGCTCGCAGAAGTGAAACTCAAATCTCCAAAGCCACATTGATCAAAGGTATCAGAAACAGAGCATCCTATCAAACTAAGGTATCTCTCTTTGGCTTCTCTTCTGAACTACTCCAAGATTGGTTCCACTGATCACAAGACGCATTGGCTATTTAACCTCTTGCTACCAAAAATTCTTCTTATTTACTCCTTGAAAAGAGTTTTGTAATTGTACGAAACCGTTTACCAAAGAAAGAGTTGCTCTCTCGCAGAAAACATAGTTCTTGACCCAAATTGATTAGAGAATTAAGAAACTAAAACCATAGACTCAACATCAGTGATCACCAGTTGTATACATTTCAAAAAGAAAAACGAAATAGAAACAGAATCTGGAATGAGTTAAGATCTACATGAGAAACATATAGCCAGAGTAAAGTTCCTTTTAGCAAGTAAAGTAACTTTAAAATTGGACTTAAAATAGAAAACCTTATCATAATAAACAATTGTTGTATCCTTTTGTGTATAAATAAAGAAAGTGTCAGTCTTTGACACAAGGCAACACCAGTGGTCTAGTGGCGGAATAGTACTCTTCCATGGTTTAATATACCCGTGTTCGATTTCCCTCTGGTGAGCTATGAAGATATGGCTTTAGCGTTGGTTGGGTCCTTTCGCATTCTTCTCATTTCTTGTGGACGAGAGCCCTTTATCTGAGCTCTGTGTTTTTTCCATCGTTTTGAGAACCTTTCTTGTGGAGTCATTTGATTTTTAAAATGACGACAACGACGATACAATCCAAAAAAAAACACTTTTTTAGTTTACTCATACGGAGGATAAACTATATCACAAATTAAAAATCCTGCAAGATACATATAGTTCTTGTGGTGACCATTAAAAGAACAATGAGAATGAAAAAACAAAAAACATATAAATATATTTTGTTCCTCTTCAAATTTGATAAAGAATACTTTTGTTCTATAATTTTTTTTAGAATAGAGAATGGTTATGAATAATATGAAAATAATATTTTTAGTAAATGGTAAAAAAAATCAAGGAATGAAAGAAAATTCATTATTCCTCGTTATTCATTTGGTCACCGGTTGTTTGACCTAGTTCTAAACCCTTCACACATCACGGGCCATTCATTAATTGAGTAAAATCTATCGTCTCTCCACCAAAACCCTAAACGGTTCCCTCATCCCCAAGCAAGCACATGTTCTATTTCCTCCATTGTTTGAGGCAATTTCTAGTTGTTTTTGTTACCATGCAATGGAACTTGGTTTTCTCTGTTCTTTCTCTATTGTTGTATTGTTATATTACTTTCTATTCAGTTGCTGGAAAGAACTCGTTAGTAGTCATCTGATACAATATGGAAGAACACTAAATCAAAGGTCTTCATTATTTGGATTTATTATAAGAATCTGGTTTTAATAATTTCACAAAATCAATGGATTTTCGTTTAAGTCTGAAGAGAAATTGGTGCCAATAAGACTTTTATTTGATGTAGCTTATTTTTCTCCTTTTATTTAAATGTAAATAATTTTATTAAGTGTATTTATTTGTAAAGATCTTTTGTAAAAGCTATAAAAGCTCATTGTTCTCATTGTAAAAAGATATATAAATTTTTGAAAAATGAAAGAGAATTTTCTCTAAAAAGCTTAGACTTTGTTACTTTGTTCATTAGAGATTGTGTGGAATCACTTATCTTATGTTCTTGCGGGTTCTTGAGTGTTTTGTGGAATCAAACATTTGAGTTTTCGTGTTGTTTCTTACTGTCCATGCGAGGATGAGCCCTTGGAAGTTAGAAGCATAAATTGTTGCTTGTGGAATCAGTCAACCCATCTATCCATTCCATCCACCGATCCTTCCTGAAAGAGACTTGAGTCCAGCATGATTGATCCCATAACCATCCACTTTGATCATCTCTTGAGCAAAAAGAAAGAGACTTCAGTCCAGCTGCTTGCTTCCACCAATTCACCCAACCATTTATAAGATCATCCCCTTGATCTTATATCATTTGGTATCAGAGCTAAAACCTGCTATCCTCTATCTTTTTTTTTTTTTTTCTGTTTTGTTTTTGTTTTATGCTTTATCAAGATTTTCATTAAAAAGAAAAAAAAAGTTTTGGTTGTTTTTATTCTTTAATTTTTATAAAACTAAAAAAAATCAGAAAAATAGTTTTATGTTTTTGTTCTTTAATTTATGCCTTTTCATTAAAAACATAAAACCCATAAAAAAATTCAATTGAAGTTTGTTTCTTTCATAAAAAAAGAAAACAAGAAAATCTCTGTTTTTATTTATGTCTTTGTTTATTTTGATCTTTTTCTGTTTTAAAAAAATTATGGAATGAATTTTTATTTATTTATTTTATAAATAATATTTGCCAAAACGTTTATCATAAAAAAACAGTTTTGAGGACAAAACCATTTGAAGAGAGAGAGAATGATACAATATGAAAAAACACTAAATCAAAAGTCTTTATTATGTGGATTTATTATAAGAATCTGGTCTTAATCATTTCACAAAATCAATGGATTCTCATTCAAGTCTAAAGAGAAATTGGTGCCAAGAAGACTTTTATTTGATTTAGCTTATTTTTCTCCATTTGTTTAAATGTAAATAATTTCATTAAGTGTATTTATTTGTAAAGATCTTTTGTAAGAGCTATAAAAGCTCATTGTTCTCATTGTAAAAAGATATTGAAATTTTTGGAAAATGAAAAAGAATTTTCTTTAAAAAGCTAAGGCTTTGTTACTTTGTTCATTAGAGATTGTGTGGAATCACTTCTCTTATGTTCTTGCGAGTTCTTGAGTGTTTTGTGGAATCAGACATTTGAGTTTTCGTGTTGTTTCTTACTGTCCATGCGAGGATGAGCCCTTGGAAGTTAGAAGCATAAATTGTTGCTTGTGAAATCAGTCAACCCATCTATCCATTCCATCCACCGATCCTTCCTGAAATAGACTTGAGTCCAGCAGGATTGATCCCATAACCATCCACTTCGATCATCTCTTGAGCAAGTAGAAAGAGACTTCAGTCCAGCTGCTTGCTTTCACCCATTCACCCAACCATTTATAAGATCATCCCCTTGATCTTATATCATCATCAGACAGTAAGAACTCTATTTTGGAGTGAACGAGACGTCTTTGTTGTCTGTGATCGATTAGAGACATAAAGCAACATTCTATCCGATTTTGCTGATGGATTTGAGTTACCTGATGAAGGAGAAAAAAGGTTTTGATCCCAAAACTGAAACCTGTAATTGCATTATGAGTCTGTTGTCAAGGATAAATATTAAGTCTGAAATTTATAACTTGGAACATTATGATAACCGTATTGTGCTTGTGCAAGGAAGAAAACTTTAACGTTAAGATTTATGATCAACGTATTATGCATTTTAACTGACATTGAATCGGTTTGATATCTGTAAACCGAAATAGAACTAAATCCAAACCATAATTTGGTTCGGTACGGAACCAATGCCCTAGTCCTCGAACCCTATATATAAATATTAGCGACAGCCTACATTGGTTTTCATTCATATACAGTATCTCTCTCCGTCTGATCAATGAATTCAATCCCTCTTGATCTCGGTCACGAGATATTCTCTAGAGTGCCTGTCAAGCAAATAGGGAGGTGTCGTTGCGTGTCGAAGCTATGGGAAGCTATGGGAAGCTATGGGAAGCTATGGGAAGCTATGGGAGAGAATGATACAATATGGAAAAACACTAAATCAAAAGTCTTTATTATGTGGATTTATTATAAGAATCTGGTCTTAATCATTTCACAAAATCAATGGATTCTCATTCAAGTCTAAAGAGAAATTGGTGCCAAGAAGACTTTTATTTGATTTAGCTTATTTTTCTCCATTTGTTTAAATGTAAATAATTTCATTAAGTGTATTTATTTGTAAAGATCTTTTGTAAGAGCTATAAAAGCTCATTGTTCTCATTGTAAAAAGATATTGAAATTTTTGGAAAATGAAAGAGAATTTTCTTTAAAAAGCTTGGGCTTTGTTACTTTGTTCATTAGAGATTGTGTGGAATCACTTCTCTTATG